TCCTGTGCATGAGTCTGTGTGTCTTGGTGTTACTGTTTTCTGCCACCAGTGATGCTTGAAGAGAGTGGACAATTTTATATGTATTGAGCAGGAAAAATAAAAAGAAACACACATGGTACTGAAGCTGGAGAATGTCAATGTTAACGAAAATCTTTAAATGCTCTCAGAGACAAAAGATAGATTACCCACTAAATAAAGATAAGTAGATGATAGTGGACTTTTCAATGGCAGTAATAGGACACGAGAGAAAACCTTCAAAAGTTCTGATGGGGGGCTGGCCCAGTGGCGTAGTGGTTAAATTCGCGTGCTCTGCTTCTGTGGCTCAGGGTTCTCAGGTTTGGATCCCGGCGTGGACCTACGTTCCATTCGTCAAGTCTTGCTGTGGTGGCACCACAAATACAAAATAGAGGAGGATGGGCACGGATGTTAGCCAAGGGCCAATCTTCCTCACCAGAAAAAGAAAAAAAAGTGTTGATGGAATATAACTGCACACTTAGAATTCTATGCACAGCTAAACCATCGTTAAAGAGTTGGGACAAATTAAAACAAAAATGGAAGAATCTACTGTGAAAGACCCCCCAATAAAATAATTTCAAGAAGAAGAAAAGTGATGCCTAGGGAATATATATAATATAGGAAGCAATGGTGATCACAGAAATTGGTTCAGTAAATGAGTTGGCAAGTTTAATTCATCAAAGAGAATAAATATACTTGTATTTTTAAAGAAGTAACACTAAAATTCTTCAACAAAACAACGAGATGGAAGTGGGATTTTTCTATGGGTACTTAAAGAAAGCCGTAGAAGCAGAATATTAAAAGTCTCATATTCATTTATTTAAAATGATCATTTCCCATTTTTAAAATTTTATTAAGGCAAAATCTGCATACTATAAATTCAGCTTTTTCAATATACATTTCTGCAAGTTTGACAAATGTATATAGTCATGTAACCACCGCCAAAATCAAGATATAGAAATTTCATCAACCCCACACATTCTCCTGTGCCCTTTCGTAATCATCTCCTGCCCCCACCCAAGCCCCTGCCAACTGTCTGGTCTGTTTACTGTCACTATTATATTGGCCTTTTCCGGAATGTCATGTAAATGATATCATACATTTGGAGTCTCGCTCCTTTCACTTAGCATTATATATTTGAGATTCATCCATATTCTTGTGTCTATTAGCAGTCCGTTGCCATTTATTACTGAGTTGTATCCAGTTATATGGATGTATCATTGTTTGTCCATCCATTCACCAATTGAAGGACATTTGTGATGTTTCCAGGTTTTGTTGATTGTGAAAAAAGCCATTATACACACTCATGCATAGGTTTTTGAGGGGACATAAATAGTCTATTCATGGGTAAATACCTCAGAGTGAACTTGCTCAGTTGTATGGTACGTGTATGTTTAAGTTGATAAGAAACTGACAAATTGTTTTCCATAATGACTGAACCATTTTGCATTCCCAATTTACTCTCGTTTTGCATTTTATTAAGCTGTAAAATATAGGTTCTTTAAATTCTTATTCAAAATGAATGAAATATTGCCTGAAGCTTTAAATTACAAGTCTTCCCAAGTCGCATTTTTTAAAAAAAAACAATTTGGGGAAATGAGAAGGATTATTTATGCAAGTAAAGAAGAAGGTGCAATTCAAGAGAGAAAGTCATCCGGGGAAACACACACACACACACACACACACACACACACACACTAATCATGCACACTTAGACTTGGAGACTAAAAACATTAATGACAATTAAGTCCTGTCTAGTTAAGGATGTTGTAAGTATTCTTACAAAATTGCTTTA